CAGAAACAATACAATGTTGTAATAGATGTATGTCTCATTCACCATTAACGTAGCAAGCAGATGCTGACAAAACAAGTATCTTCTGTTTTAGCAAATTTCCATCCATGGTCCTCTTTGGCTCCACATCTGTCAGTGATCTCTCTGAGAAGACTGAAGAATCACCAATGACCCCAGGGGTCAAAGCCACCTTCCTCTGTCCCTTCATTTCCTAAGGGTCACCTATGTCTTCATCTTCACTGACTACCAGCATCTTCTAAGCTTCCTCGCACTTGCTGGGTTTTTCCTTTGCCTTCTGAGTCACAGCTGCTTAATTCTGACCGGCTTCCTTACGCTGCCCATCCACAAGGCTTCATTTTCAGCAAGCGCTTTTAAAACCTGCCCAGCTACACCAGAAATCGGTCATCTACTGAGGTTTCCAATCTTGCTTTGAGATCTACCAATTTTTCTCCGTCGTGTTTGTGTCTAAGACCCACACAAGGTCACAAGAAGCAAAACAGAGTGCATGGACCAGCCACCCTAGGTCCAGACTTCTGGCCTGGCCGCATTCAGGGCTTCCTGCAATCCACCTGACCTTCCCGTCCCATCATTCTCTAGCTATCCTCACAGAATCTCCATTCTGGCAGGCAGATCTCGTGTCTGCTGCCTAAACCTGCTTTGCTCATTCTTGTCTCTGCGTCCTCACTCAGGCCACACTTCCTCCTCGAAGAATCCATGCCCTCCCCTCCCCCGTGCCCACATCATAAGCTTCCTCCCTGGAAGTCCAACCAAAGTTCACCCTTCTCAGTGAAGTCTAAACTCTCGATTCCCTTATTTCCCTGTCATTCGCCTAGCACTTAATAACTAGCAGCCTGCTACAGCTGTTTATCTTTTAATCTAATCTTTTCACAGGCATTTTCTTTTCAAGCCCATGACAGTCATTTCCTCACAGGCATGAACCATAAAGCATGCTTTAAGAAACTTAATATGATGGTACCAGGCAACCCTAAGAAAACTTTTAGGAAGTAAAATCCCCCTAACAAGAACAATCAATTTCACTTTTTCATGTTTCTTTCTAGCTCTTGCCCATTCCTGTATACATTTTTACATAGTAATAATCATAATAGATTTGATCAGTTACACATACAGCTTTACATTCTTTTTCCACTAACAGAGAAAATGATCTTCCTTGTTAAATGGTTTTGACTGTCATCATTTTAATTGCTGTACAACAGTCCCTCCATTGAGATACATCATGATTACCAAGGCACTGACTCTACTAGACATTATTACATACTTCTGTGTCTTTCACCACGTCAAGTATTGGAAAATGCAAAGTAAACTCATTTGAAATATCTCCTGAAATAAATTTCTTGTCCATGCTCCCTAACACCTGAAATAATCTATTTGACTGTTTCTATCTTCATTTATTTCGTTTCCTGGTTCTACCCCCTTAGTCTAGATAGGTAACAAAGGCATTCCAAACACCTTTTACAGATATTTACTTATTTTGGTAGTTGATCTTACAGAGATTTAAACACAGGAAATCCCTTGAGGAAAGGCATTAAGCTCTCATCCTATCTAATATAAGCTAGATACCTGGCAGGCACTCCATAAAAGTTGGCTTAACTATTAAATGTTTTTTAAGCCACCTAAAGTTAGAAAACATCAAATTCCTGGAAAGGAGAATGCTGCTGATCTAACTAATCCCACCAATTATGGCTACAAAACTTTCAGCTCCTGTAATGATTAGACAGGTTAATAATGTATGAATGGGTGTTCTGTGCAGTGCACGGACTGCACACAAGAGTTATCTGTTGAGCTGTACAGTCTGAACAACACTGGAAAACAAACAATATCTGCAAATAGAACTCGAAGATCTTGTGACAAAAACTTACCCCTTTTTCTCTAGTTGTTTCGCTTTGTATCTCAGATGAAGAAAGGCAAAATAAAGGTTGTAATATTAAAATCATGTAAAATTACATACACATGTGAGCACAAACTGGCATGGAAAAGAAAAGCTGTTAGGATGAAGAAAGTATGTGAACTTCTTTCCTTTTTATTTTTCCTTTTGTTAGTGTAATGTTAAAATAAATGTATGACTACAAAAATATTCCTGACAAATTAGCCATTACAACTCTTCCTGTTACTGAATTAGGGCCTAATGCTTAACCTTCAAATAACTAAGGTTCCCAATCCCACATACAGTTTAGCAAAAAGATTAAAACACTTCACTTCGAGGATAACTGTTAAATAATAAATCAGCTAACCACCTTAAAACGCCAAACAGCTAAGCACAACCACACACTGAATCACACAAGGACTTAATACACCGGAGTTTTCTGGAAATTTTCAGATTTTCTTCAAAAGATAACTAATGTGATTCCAAATATCAGAGTCTATACAGTAAAACTACATCACCACAGTAATCCATTCTCATCCCCTCATTTGTGGACAGTGATTTATAAGGTTGCTTCCTGCACTTATACGTTATGATAGAAACTATTAGGACTCAAGTTTTACTATGTGTCATAATTATACATTATAATTCTAATAACTGTTCAAAGTAATATTCTTTTCAAAATTAAGGGAAAGGTTCCTACAGATCATATGAGGAAGAAAAAAAGAAATTACTGGAAAGAAAAATAGTTTTTAATTTTTTTTTTTTTTTTTTTTTTTTTTTGAGATGGAGTTTTGCTCTTGTCGCCCAGGCTGGAGCACAGTGGCGCAATATCAGCTCACTGCAACCTCCGCCTCCCAGGTTCAAGTGATTCTCCTGCCTCAGCTTCCCAAGTAGCTGGGATTACAGGTGCCCGCCACCACGCCTGGCTAATTTTTTGTATTTTTAGTAGAGACAGGGTTTCACCATGTTGGGCAGGCTGGTCTCGAACTCCTGACCTCAGGTGATCCACCTGCCTCGGCCTCCCAAAGTGCTGGGATTACAGGCGTGAGCCACCATGCCTGGCCTGTTTTAGTCTTTCTATACAAACTTTAGATACCAATTTTTAAAAATCACTGGATTTAGAATCCCACCACACTGTATTCCATAATAACCTTTTTATTTATGTTAACAATTACTTCACAGCAAAAATGGAAAAGAACAAATTTATGTGTGATAATCACTGAAAAAAGAAGTCCACATGCATGTCAGGAAATATAAGGCTAAGAATGGGCACTAAGTGAACTCAGGAGGTACTTTACTCCAAATAATGCACTTCTCTATATAGGCTAATGGAATCTATGGGTAAACCTCAATTTTAAAATGAGTTGAACCCAAGGATCAGCTCACATCCATTCCACAGCTAGAACTATTATTTCTTCGCCTTCCTCTAAACTCTGATGTTTATTACAACCTTATCAATGGCAATTTATGAGTGAAAAGCATACGAATTCCCCTCAAAAAGTGAAACCAATGGAGAAAGGGAGAGTGAAAGAAGGGCTCTAAATATCTGAGATGTCTTTTGTGGTGGTTGGTTCGTGGCCTCTTTTTAGCACTGACATTTCCAAGTTTTTTGTGAAAAGGAAATTTTAAGAATGTGCTGAAACTATCCTTTCAGAATCAATTCCCAGATATGTTTCATTTGGCTTCTTTCTTTAAATTATTGTGATGGTAAACTGGAAGTAAACTGAAATACAAATACCTGAATATTTAAAAACTGACGCTTCTGAAAATTTTCAGAATTGCATCGACGTTTGCTTTGTGTTGTCAGAGTACGAGATTAGTGAAGCAAAGCAGGACTCAATCTTGCACTAGTTGAGAACTTAAAGTAATTAAGTTCTTAAGGAAAAAAACTCACCTGACAGCCTTAATCGGACCTAGCAGAAACAGGACAAACCAATTCCCATAGACGAGATAACTCCAAGCGAGAAACCAATTTCCCCGAGAAGGACAAACCAACAAAGCTTATGTCAACTGGTTGATCTGTACGTCTCAATATACACAAAAGAGAGCAAAGAAGAGGAAAACAACCTATAATTTCTACATAAAAATTAACATTTGATTTTGCTAAGAAGCTACAACTTCTTAGTTGTCTCTGGTACTTAAAAGATTCTAATTAGTTCAAAGTCTTATCAATGGCAAAGTCATCCCCTGGGACAGTAATAGTGACCCCAATGATAGAACCTTGTATATAAAGCGTTTTCAAATACATTATCTTATTTAAAGCAACTCGCCCAGTCACGCTGCTTTTTACTATCAAAGCCAAGACCCAGCCCACCTTCTCCCCTGACTTTTGGGGTTCTCTCCACTCCCTGGGTCTACAGATGACTTCAATGTACTCGGTTTATCTGCTTTCTCTACCCTCCCTGCAGACTTAAGAGAATGTCAGAAAGATACAATTCCACAAGAATCTTGGCACTTAAGCTATTTATTGAGAGATGACCAATGAGACTTCAGGCAAAACCAAAACTTTCTCGACTGTCCAAAAACAACGAAAAAGGCATCTCCTCCACCTGACCTCAATCTCAGGACGCCCAGGTGGAAGGAACTCGCCGCGGGGCACCCACCTGGCCCCCTGCCCTCCTTCCCGCCGCGGGCCGCGGCGGTGCAGGCTTGGGAGACCCGGGCGAGACGCGGGGTCCCGGGCGGTCCCGAGGCGGGTTGCAGGGGCTGGCGACCCGCGCGCGGGGGCGACAGTGACAGCTGGCGGGGAAGGCGCGGGGCTGAGGGGCCAGGGCGAGGCGGGGCGACAGGGCCGAGGGCGCCCTCGGGAACCTCCGGGGGAGACGAGAGGGCTAAAGGGCGCCGGGGCGGGGCGGGGCGGGCGCAGGCGGAAGGGGCAGCGGGGCCGACACGAGGGGCCTGGCGGCTCCCGGTACGGGACTGGCCAGGGGGGGAAGGGAGCGGAGAAGAGGGAGCCAGGCGACTCAGCGCCGGCGCGGGTTTCAGGGTCCGCGGGCCCCTCCTCGCGCCCCGCCGCAGACTATAGGGGCGGGGCCGCCAGACCCCCCACGGCGGCCGAGGGACGGGCGCGCCAGGCACCTGCCGCCTCAGCCCCGGCGGCCCGGGGGGGCTCGGCTCTCACCTCGCCGGTTCATGGGTCGGATCCGCACCGCCACTTTCACTTTGGAGTCCCCCATCCTGCGGCCGCCGAGGCACTCGTTCTGCTTCCGTCTGCCGCGGCCACCGGCGACTCTTCGGGGCTGACCCGGCGGGAGGGGGCCGAGGGCGGGGCGGGGGGCGGGGACCGGGCTGGGGGCGGGGCAGGAGCGAGCTCCCGGCGCGCGCCGGTGCATGACGGGACTTGTAGTTCCCCAGGGTCGTGGGCGGGGCCGCAGCGGAGGCGGAGGCGGGAAAGCTAGGGCGCGAGTCGTTCGCTGGCACTTACGGTCAGCAGTGAGGGCTTTTGTAAATTCCCGTCTTTACACACCATTCTTGCTCTCGCAAGATGTAAGCCTTCGAGAAGTAAGCCTTCGAGAGCTGATACCTTTTCTGAAAAACAGTTGAATAGATGGCATCAGGGACCCCGCTACCTCTTCCTGCTCATTTCCTGCCAATCTTAGTGTTTGATCCCTGGCTCAAGTTATTTCCTCTGCCTAGATTGCAGTCCAGCCTTGTCTGCTGAGGACGTCCTTCAAGACAAGTTGCAAATCACCTTTTCTGGGAGTGTCCATAGGTGCATAGGTTAACATTGTCCTATGAGTCGCCCTCCTTTGAGACAGGACTTTGGGCTCTGAAAACCATCTGAGTTCAAATCCCACCTCAGCGCTTCCCACTGTGTGACCAGGGGCAAGTTATTTCACCGCTCTGGGTTTGTCTTTAATATGGAAAGTGGAGATGATGCTAGTACCTAATAAAATAGGTACATTTTTAAATAAGATTAACTTACATGTGTAACCTAGCCTTTAGTAGAGACCCATAAACGTTAATTGCAGGAATGAATCAATGAGGCCACACTAAAATTAGCTTTTTATTAGCCCTGGCAGACATTCTAACAGGTGACCCTGTGGGCCAGAGCCAGCCTGCAAACATGTTCTGTTTAGCCCAACAGTGTTGGCCAACACATAAAAATCAGATTTGTGGCCAGGGGCAAGGGGTCACACCTGGAATCCCAGCATTTTAGGATACTGATGCAGAAGGATCGCTTGAGGCCAGGAGTTTGAGACCAGCTTGGGTGACAGAGTGTGAAATCAGATTTGTGCTTGCAGTACTGGGCCTACATTACACATTGGACAGAGTGGATTGGAACTAACTAGCAGCAGCCGCCTTTATCAAAGGCCAGTCTCTCTCCACTTCACCACAGCCTCCCTCCAGGTGGCTTTACCACACATGTGCCTGGACCTTGTGGGTTGGTGACCCCTGCTTAGATGTGTTTAAATGATAGTAATAGAACTCAGAACCATTTTACAGATGAGTAAATACAGAAAGCTGGCAAGACTTGCCCTTTTATCAACCATCCTGTTACTGAGCATCTTCAATACAAGCAGTGTTATCAAAAAAGTTAAAAATATCTTTTTTTTTAGATGGATCTAGCTCTGTCCCCCAGGCTGGAGTGCAGTGGCACGATCTCGGCTCACTGCAACCTCCACCTCCTGGGTTCAAGCGATTCTCATGCCTCAATCTCCTGAGTAGCTGCAATTACAAGCATGTGCCACCCCTCCTGGCCAATTTTCATATTTTTAGTAGAGACAGAGTTTTGCCATGTTGACCAGGCTGGTCTTGAACTCCTAACCTCAGGTGATCCTCCCACCTCGGTCTCCCAAAGTGCTGGGATTACAGGCGTGAGCCACCGTGTCTGGTCAAAAAATACCTTTAAAAGGAAGGAAATTCTGACACATGCTGCAACATGGATGATGGGCCTTGAAAACATTATGCTGGGTGAAATAAGTCAGACACAAAAGAACAACCACTGCATGGTTCTATGTATATGAGATACACACAGTAGTCAAATTCATGGAGATAGAAAGTAAACTGGAGGTTACTAAGGGCTGGGAGAAGGGAGAATGAGGAGTTAATATTCAATGGGTGCAGAGATTCAGCTTGAGAAGATTTCAGCTGCAGAAATGAATGGTGGTGATAGTTGCACAACAATGTAAATGTACTTAACACCACCTAAACACTTAAGAGTGGTTAAGACAGTAAAGTGTTTTAGGTTTTTTTAGAGACAGAGTCTCGCTCTGTTTGCCCAGGCTGGGGTGCCGTGGTGCAGCCTCAACCTCCTGGGCTCAAGAGATTGTACTGCTTCAGCCTCCCAACTAGCTGGAATTACAGGTACGTACCATGACACCTGGCTAATTTTTATTTTCATTTTTTGGTAGAGATGGAGTCTTGCTGTGTTGTCCAGGTTGGTCTTGAACTCTTGGCCTCAAGTAATCCTCCTCACTTCAGTCTCCCAAAGCACCAGGATTGCAGGTATGAGCCATTGCACCCAGCCAAGATGGTAGGTTTTTTGTTGTTGTTTGTTTGTTTGTTTGAGACGGAGTCTTGCTCTGTCGCCCAGGCTGGAGTGCCAGCATGATCTCTGCTCACTGCAGTCTTTGTCCCCTGGGTTCAAGTGATTCTCCTGCCTCAGCCTCCAGAGTAGCTGGGATTACAGGTGTGCATCATCATGCCCAGCTAATTTTTATATTTTTAATAGAGACGGGGTTTCACCGTGTTGGCCAGGCTGGTCTCAAACTCTTGACCTCAAGTCATCCGCCTGCCTCAGCGTCCCAAAATGTACAGGCATGAGCCACTGGGCCTGGCCAATAGTAAGTTTTATGTTATGTGTTTTTTATCAAAATTTCAAAAAAAGGTTAAAAATAGAAAATGCTACCCCAGAAGGCCCCCTTTTTTAAAAAAAAGGAAATTTCTTTCTTAGGGGCACTGCCTCTGCACTTCAGGAGGTCTCAGCTAGACCAGCAGTGGGTTTAGTGTGGCAGGTCCTTTGATTTTCACAGCCCAATAAAGTAAACAGTAACATCAGGAAAACCAAATTAGGATTGCCAGTCTTAGTGTTTGACACTATGACAGCTTCTTAATTTTAGCAAGTATTTTTTTTTTTTTTTGAGACAGGGTCTCATTCTGTGCCCAGGCTGGAGTGCAGTGGCGCCATCTTAGCTCACTGCAGCCTCAACCTCCCAGGCCCAAGTGATCGTCCCACCTTAGCCTCCCAACTAGCTGCGCCTACAAGCGTGCACCACCATGCCCAGCTGGTTTTTAAATTTTTTGTAGAAGCAGTGTCTCACTATGTTACCCACGCTGGTCTTGAACCCATGGCCTCAAGTGATCCTCCCGCCTCAGCCTCCCAAAATGTTGGAATTGCAGATGTGAGCCATTGTGCTAGGTCATCAAGTAAATTATTTGAAAAGGAATGCACACAACAATCACTACCTACCATCACTATCATTTTTTTTTTCAGAAAAAAAAAGGTCATAAAGGGTATAATTTTATATTGAAATTGTTTTGCCCTACTGTCCCTTTGCTCGTATTTAGTGTTTGCCATGGGCCCAGACTGGTTACCAGAGGTTGGTACTCTTGTCTTAAACACACATCCTAATTACCACCTCCCTACATTCAGGTTATAAAAAATAAAAGTTTGGAATGTCCCAAGGTTCCATACGTCACTTTATATCTCTTTTATAACCAGGTAAACTTAATTTGTCAATGGTGTGTCCTGGTGCTAACTTGAATCTGGCTTTTTAAACAGAGTCAAAGCAGGCAGAAAAAGATAACCAGAGAACATTTCTATGGAAATATTGTATTTAAACTTAAGCTGAAACTGAAAAGAGAGGAAAGCCCCTAAGGAGCTCAAGCAAGGGAGGAATAGAACAGAGAAGAAGTGAGGACTTTCTCTGAAGTCCTCAAAACCGTTTAAAATGTTCTGAAAATATTTGGAGGAAAATGACAGTATCCTCCCCCTAGGGACTGCAGGGAAGAGCCCCTGTGAGCTGTTTCCCCTGTTGACTTCTGTTCACACTACTCTGTCTCCTTTGACTTCTGCAGTGAAGATGATTCTTAAAAGAGAGCCCAAGACTAGAAATGCCCGTATCTTCCCATGGAAAGTATTCCTCTGATAGGTGGGAGACAGAGGACCAAGATGCAAGTTACAACCTGCAGCCCGGGAGTTTCAGGGGCTTCAACGCCAAATGAAATTGGAGAACTATCAACAGGCTTCGGGGTTCAGCACAGCCTCCAGCAAGACAGAGAGAAAAGTCCTGGTCTCTCTCTCTTTTCTCTTTTCTCTTCCTTTTTTTTGTTTTCTTTTTTGAGACAGGGCCTCGCTCTGTCGCCCAGGCTGGAATGCAGTGGCACAATCTCGGCTCACTGCAACCTCCACCTCCTGGGCTCAAGCAATTCTTCTGCCTCAGCCTCCCAAGTAGCTGAGATTATAGGCACCCACCACCAAGCCCGGCTAATTTTTGTAGTTCTAGTGGAGACGAGGTTTGGCCATGTTGGTCAGGCTGGTCTCAAACTCACAACCTCAGGTGATCCGCCCAACTCGGTTTCCCAAGGTACTGGGATGACAGATGTGAGCCACTGCACCTGGCCAGTTTCTCTCTTTTCAACTATTAGAGGAAAAAGAAACAACTAGTAAATAAGGCATTCCCTTGTACCTGTTTCTTAAAGCAAGTACTTAGGAAATCAACAAGTATTTATGGTATAGATACTACAGCCATTTTGATAGAGCTGTTGAATTTTAGCTGTGTGGATAAGGGGTTTCTCCTTTTTTGCCCTCACATTTTGCAAATCTGCTCATTCTAAAACTGATTTCTAGTTTACTTTCTGTGGCTTTACCCATTCAATAGTTTCCGATGGTCCCTGCATGGGCTATGGAAGTCACTTTGTCCTATCTTTTTTTTTTTTTTTTAAGATGGAGTCTCGCTGTGTCAGGATTTCCCTGCTTGCCTGACACCTACCTTTGTGAGAGCACTTAGTTTTCCCAATTGTAACCATATCTTCATCTGCCTCCCCAGCTATACTGTGCTACTGTGTGCTCTTTGAGCCTGGATAAAGTGTCTTTTGTTTTTGAGACAGGGTCTCGCTCTGTTACCCAGGCTGGAGTGCAGTGGCACAATCATGGCTCATTGCAGCCTCAAACTCCTGGGCTCAAATGAGCCTCCCACCTCAGCCTCCTAAGTAGCTGGAACTACAGGCATACATCACCACTCCTAGCTAATTTTTGTATTTTTTGTCTCGCTATGTTGCCCAGGCTGGTCTCCAACTCCTAGGCTCAAGCAAT